CTCTCTCTCTCTCTCTCTCTCTCTCTCTCTCTCTCTCTCCCCCCGGTGTACACATACACCCCTAAAAAAAAAATAAAAAAAAAAATAAAAAAAATTGAGCGCATCAAAATTTGCGCATGGCGCATGGCGCATGCACACCGCACGGCGCACCGCAGAAGTGCGCCGCAAGTATGATCCTCACCCATTTACGAAAAACCGGGTTGACGCCCATTTTTTCCATGCAGGACCGGAGGAGTCCCAGTGGACCTGATCGTAGGCTTTTTCGAAATCGAAGAAAAGAATTGCTGTTGTGATCTTCTTTTGGTTTATTATTCTGGTGGACTCACTGAGGGCCCATTACATTGTCCAGGATAAGTCTGCCTGAGATGAACCCTGCCACGGATGAACGCTGTTCTGGTGAATTCTGTTTCTCGCCTACTTGGTTTCGCCCTTCGATGAATTTGCTCCTCTTTCTTATCTCCCCCCCTGTCGAACTATACAATTCCCTCATCACATTCCCTCCTCACTGTCATGATATCCTGCTCTTGAAAAGAATATCCCCAGCATGTTCCCCAAGTGCTGTCCTTTTTCGTCCCCAAGTGCTGTTTTTTTCTAAAATTCACTCCCTCGACCCTTTTGCCCATCCTATACTATCCCCCTTCGACCTACCTACTACGGAGCCATCCTAACTATTTTACAACTATTCTACATCTATCAGTTCCGACCCTGGAACATGAAGTAACATAACATTCCTATTCCGGGTTCTTTTCCAGCTAGGGCATGTGACACAGCAGAATGGGGACGAGCTGTAACCGGCCCGTGTCAGGAGTACTGATCCCATCTTTTCCAGAATTCCTCACCTTCACACACACCTGCAGGGCAATCCTCTAAACACTCCATCGCTCTTTCCTGATATGCCTGCAGTGAAGGTGCTGCTCCCTGTCTGCAGCGATTGTTTCACAGTGTACATACAACCCCCAGCACCGCTGCCCGAATCATCTCTGCGACAAAGGCTGGACTTTCATTAGCGCTCCCAGTAGGATAGCTGCATCATCCCCTTCACCAACTTCCAACGGCGTCTCATCTGCGACTTCCCGGCCCCACCATGTCCAAAAAGCCTGGAGTTGCGGGCACTATACAAACAGGTGAGGGATCGTCTCCGCTTGACCACACCCTGCTGCACATAGCTGATCCTGGTGCTGATTCTTAGTAGCTAGCCATTGTGCAGTCGGGATTGCCAGATGGTAAATTTGCCACAACAGTCCTGCCTGTTTCTGGTCTGGCAAAGCTGCTAATATAGCACACTGCTCGTTCCATCTTCGCCGAGTCCACCAACCAAAATAAATGTCGGGAAGCCAGTCCCTCTTGGCCCACCTGTTCTTAACTCCTGACAAATGTTGATTGGTTCCATCAGCGAATTGTAAATGTTTTTCGTGGTCACTTCTTGCAGCGGCATGGCCTCATTGTGCATCCCCTGAGGTGACCATTCCCAGTCCCTTGGGTTCCTGCAGCCTGTGTGCTAGCTGGAACGGTCGGTATTGTCCCTCTGCACCTTTTCCTCCCTCGCAGACTGCCACTGTCTCCCCTTCATTCCTTACCAGGGTCAATCCCCCCTTCCTTTGCATCCCTGCTCCCGGTAGAGGTCCCCCCAACCCTTCATATGCTAATCCCGGTGTTACCATCCATTCGGTGACTTCTAACCTGTCACCCTGCACTGGCTGCTCCACCCTATATACCCTGTCTGGCCTCGGGTTTCCCTTGATCCTCACCCACTCCCCAACCGTTATCTGATCTTCTTTCAACAGCCGCACCAATTGAGGGGGGATGGCTGCCCTCAGCTCTGCTATCCTCTGCCTCTCTTCATTCGTCCTTGCAGGGCTGCTTCCAGCTCATTGTCCGCGCACCAATCCTTTCTGCCTTTGTCCCAAAGATGGCCCACCTCGTAAACTCCCCGCTCCGCCCATTTCCAGTCGTATGCTCCTCGTGGTCCCTGCCATGGGAACGGTTCACCTGCTACGTAACAGGTGAACCTGTTGTCAAAGAGCAGCTGATTAAAGACTGCGTCTGCGGTTTCCGGCAACTGACATCCGAGGTTCACAGAGCTAGCTTTGTGGTCCAAACCGTGTCCCTGCGAACATGGCCTATCGCAGAACTATCCAGTAAACATAGATCCAGAAGCTCTCCCGATAGGCCAGATGGGTTTGGGTAACTTGATACCAGCAGCACCCAGATGAGATGCCGCATTTGCAGCGCGATAATTTGTCGTCGCGGATCCAAAAGACCCAAGCCTCCAAATCACCTTGGTTGGATCAGTTTTGTCCGTGCGACCCTGGGAATAGAGTCTTCCGCCTTGGCGTTGTTTGGACCACAAGTGCACGTGAACTGCCTTTTCGATATATCTAAACGTCCTTTTACCTGGCATGTGCATGGCCCCCACGTACCACAATGTGGCGAAGACCGAGTTCTTGATGACCAGGGATCTTCGAAAGACGCCCGTGCTCCCCCTTGCCTCCACGCCCTAAGCCGGGTCGCCACTGCCGTGGCCCGGATTGCCATCTGCTCCATTCCCCCAAAGCTTGGTGTCAAAGTTTGCCCCCCAAAACGCCATCCTCTCCTCGCCTGTCACGGGGGCTCGACCTCTGGTGGAAGGATGGCCCTCAATTTCGACCAGTTAACCTGCACTCCCGAATACCTGCAAAAGGTTGCCAGGTCTTCTTTTAGCATCTCTAGCTGCTGGGTGGTCGGAGGGATCACCACTCGCATGTCGTCTGCGAAGGCCGTGGATCTCAGCTCAACTGCTGGCCCCACCTTCAAGCCCATGATCCTGTCGTCCTCCCTCGGCAGCTCATGCAAAGATTCGATATAGATGACGTAGAGAGCTGGAGACAAAGAGCATCCTTGCCTAACGGATCGAGTGACAGCAAGCTTATCTGACCTCACCCCATTGACCAGCATCACCGTTGAGCTTCCCTTCAGCAGGCTCCAAACCCATCCACAAAATATTCCGCCAATTACCCGTCGCGCCATTCCTTATAATAAGAATTTCCACCGTACCCTATCGGACGCTTTTTCAAGATCTATGGATACGAATGCCATGGTCAAACCTGTGCACTGCTCTTCTTCCAGGATTTGCTGGGCCAGCAGCACTTTCAACAGAATTTGTCGGCCCGCCACGAAGCGTGTTTGGGTATGAATCCGTGTGATCTATGATGTGCGATAAGACCTCCTTCATGCAGGTTGCCAACACTTTGGCTGGAATCTTGTATAGCGCGTCGAGGATGGATATTGGCCTCCAGTTACGCACGCCCTCCTTAGGCCCTTTCTTATAGAGCACGATAATATATGCATCTGCGAAACCCGCCGGGAAGCAGCCCTGTCCCAATGCTTCATTATATGTCGCTGTCGAAAGGGTCACAAAAAAGTTAAAAGGGTCTTTGTACAGCTCCACCGGAATACTGTCCAGCCCGGCCACCTTGAGTGTGGGGAGATCCGCTATCACCCTCTCTACCTCTTCTGGCTTAATATCCTCCTCCAATTTGCATGTGATTTCGAGGTCCAGTCGCCTTTGGACGTTCTTCCAGATTTGTTGCTCCGGCTCCCTAGCCATGTCTGCTGATGTCCACTACTCTTCCTCTGTCAACAGTTGGCTATAGAAGTCCATAGCATATTTTAGAATACCCCACGTAGTGCGTCGCCTCCCTTCTGACTGTCGAAGGGATGATCCATCGTCCGCATTGCCGCCATTCCTTTCCGCGCGCCCACTGTACTGAAGAATTTTTGTGACATTCGCTCCCCTACCAATATCCAGGCCTCTTTCGTACGCCTACCCCATTTGACCGCCTCCTCCCCTTGCCACTCCCTCCACTCTTGAGCCGTTTCTGCGCACTTCGCCTACCATTCCTCCTCTAACCCTTCTGGGGCCGGCATTGAGCTCCTCCATCATGTGCGCATATTCCTCCCCCGTCCTTTGGTGTGCGCAGTAGCTGGCCCGCAGCTGCCTGGCCAGATTTGCTCTTCGGAACTGTGTTTCCGTCATTATATGGTCTAGCAGGTTGTCCTGGGGGCAGTCGCTCACCCAATCTTCCCAAAAGTGCAGCACCATCGCCTGGAATTCCTCACTCTTGAATACCCATGCCGGGATCGATCTGGGGGATTGGCCCATCTCCATTCTTCCTACAGGAAAGGTTGTCATTACCGCATAGTGGTCCGAAGTGGCCACCGGGTGGACATGTACCTGCTCAATTCTTTCGTTAAAGCACTAGTACACCACATATCGGCCCGCAGGTGTCAGCATCAAACCCGCACCACTTCGGAGGCCGCCAATTTTTTTTTCCAACTGCGGGCCTGGCCGCGCGGCGCCTCCAAGTTTTGCTTGTGGGGACAAAAGCTTTCTGCAAGGTTGGGGCGGTGTACTAGCGGTTTAAGGCACGCCGAGGCCCATATCATGTCTATTGTGCTCCTCACAGTTGCTGCATTTCCCCAGAAAGTATAGGCCTTCTCTTGCGGGTGCATGGCCCTATAGGAATCGGTACACCCAAAGCCTGTCATTCCGCGCATCAGTGCAAGTGAGTCCGCATCCATACTGCATTTGCCCCATCCAGCCTTGGGTCCACTACCGAATTAAAGTCGCCTGCAATGATGACATTGCCCACATCTGGCACCAGTGCCCAGAGTCGCTCCCACATCCATCTGCGCTCCCCACCCTCGGATGGTCCATATATTGTAACGACTCCCCATGTTTCCTCCCCCCCGTTGAGTATAACCCATGCCCATCTACCCTTAGAATCGAAATACTAGTCCGTCACTTCCCCCCTGAAATGGGGGGATACCAGGATACACAATCCTCAGCCCTGAAGATCAACACAAAACAGCATTTTAGACCGGGTATGGCCTGTACGAGTTTGTTGTGATGCCATTTGGGCTTTGGAATGCGCCTGGTACGTTCCAACACCCAATGAACATAGTAAGACTTTGAAGGAACATGCACACCACCTAAAGATAGTATTTGTGCTCCTTTGAACGCACAAGTATAAAATTAACAGAGAGAAAAGTCAGGGGTGCTATACTTAGGTCACGAGATAACTGCAGATGGGTTGAGGCCAAAGGATGTGAAAGTGTCATCCATTACCGACTGGCCACGACCTCGGAATGTAACTGAGGTGAGATCTTTCTTGGGGATGACAAGCTATTATAGACCACTAGATGACATGTTGCGGCTTCACTCGCAAAAGCAAATGCGTCAGGTGATGCACGAAGGGTGGAGGCAACCGACTGATGAAAACTCTCTCTCTCTCTCTCTCTCTCTCTCACACACACACACACACACACACACACACACACACACACACACACACACACACACACACACACAAAGAGAGAAAAAGGAAATAATTTGTGCCACGTGGCGCAGCCATGTGGTGCCATTTCATACCTTCAGCAACACCCCCGCCCCCCCGACTTTCCCCCTATCTTTTCCTCTTCTCCCTCCTTCCCCTCCTCTATGCTTTCCCCTCCTCTGCTCGTCCTTCCCCTCTCCCCCTCCTCCCTCTCCTCCTCCCCCTCCAGCTCCATCTCTTTCTCCCTCCCTACCCTCCCTCGTTTTCGGCTTTCGCCTCCCCGTATCTTCCTGTTGTTCCTTTCCCTCCTCCTCCTCCTCCTCCTCCTCCTCCTCTCTCTCTCTCTCTCTCTCTCTCTCTCTCACACACACACACACACACACACACACACACACAAAGAGAGGAACAAGAAATAATTTGTGCCACGTGGCACAGCCATGTGGTGCCATTTCACACCTTCAGCAACCCCCCCCCCCCCCCCCCCCCGACTTTCCCCCTAACTTTTCCTCTTCTCCCTACTTTCCCTCCTCTATGCTTTCCCCTCCTCTGCTCGTCCTTCCCCTCCCTCCCCTCCTCCTCCAGCTCCATCTCTCTCTACCTCCCTACCCTCCCTCGTTTTCAGCTTTCGCCTCCCTGTATCTTCCTGCTGTTCCTTTCCCTCCTCCTCCTCCTCCTCCTCCTCCTCCTCCTCCTTCCTCTCATTCCTGGTGTTCTCGTCCTTCTTCCTCCATTCTTTCTCCCACCCCTCGTCCTCCAACCTTCTCCTTCTCCTCGTCCTTCAGTATTCATTCTCTCTTTCTTGAGTTTGTCCACATATTATTGTCGATCTGTCCCATTTTCACGTATTTTATGTATATTTTATGTATAAATTTAGTATTTAGTTTTCTCCCTGCCTTACATGTTCAACCTCCGGTCCTCTATCTGCAATGTTCTCCCCGCCCCCCCCCTCCTCGCCGGGCATGCTTAGCAAGTAATAGCAGCATAGGCTGCCTGATCCTCGTCGTCCTTGTCATCCTCATGTTCCTCTTCCACTTCCTCGCCGTCGCCCCCCCCTCCTC